GTATAAATAATCAAGTCTTCAACACTTAATAAAAAAGCTATTTATGACCCAGATTCAAAGTTCTAATGTCTGCCCCCCCCCCATGATTATATGACCACATTTTAGATGCTCGGCAACTGGCCTGCATTTACCCACCATTTTGCAATGTCCCACAGTCACATCGCCATCATTTGCACTGTTATTGCTGGAAACCAGACTTTACTTCCGGTTTCTGGTAAAAAAAATGCCTCATACCCGAACAATGGGTTTCTTTAATGATCAGGGTAGTCACTTAGTGACTGTGACATTCACTTTATGGCTGCCTTATTCATTTAACGACTGCCACAGAAAAGATCATAAAATGAAGTAGGTCATGTGGTGACCCGCTTTACATCCCCCATGACAAAATTGCAGGCTCAATTACAGTCATAAGTCATGGTCTATGGCAGTGGTTCTCAACCTGTGGGTCGGGACCCCATTTGGGGTCGATCGACCATTTTATGGGGGTCGCCAAGCAAGGCTGTCCGCCATTTCTTTTGTCCACCATTTTTTTTGTCCACCATTTTTCCCCCTTTTCCGGCGGATGCCTTACCTCCCTTGGGCTGGGCCATCTGTGGTCGGCCTGCTCCGTCTCTGCCGCTTGCCAGCTACGCCTTGGCCGGCGCAGGGGGAGGAACCACGCATGCGTGGCGCTCCTGGGCAGGGAAAGTCCTCGACTTACGACCGGTTGGGTAGTCCTCGACTTATGACCGGTTTAGTCCTCGACTTACGACCGGTTGGGGTCACGGCATTAAAAAGGTTGAGAACCACTGGTCTATGGTATCATGGTCCATAAATTAGGCTCAGACTTAATGAATGGTAGCATAGCCTAACTACAGCAAATAAAAGTGTCTCTTAATCAAATTTCTTAAGTTTGACAATTTCCAAATTGAAATCTACACTGAAAGTTGGCACAATTGGGAAGCGCCATTCTAGACCAGGGGTATCAAACTGGCGGCCCATGGGCTGGATGTGTCACATGCACACCACGCCCATCCCGGCTCCACAAAGGCAAAAAACGTTGCGATACGTCACGATGCATCACGTAATGCGATTGAGTTTGCCACCCATGCTCCACACCAGGCATGTCAAACTGTCGGCCCACGGTCCGGATGCATCATGCCGAAACCGCACCCACATTGCCGGCAATGGAGAAAAAGTCGTGATACGTCGTGCGATGTCACGTGACCTTACAAATTTGACATGCCTGCTCTAGACCATGGAAAACAAGAAGCCTCCTCTTTGGCCGAAATAATTAAGGTGAGGCACAGATGGCTGACATGTGCCTTGATCTGCTGAATTTTTTTTCTCTGAAAATTGCATACTATATTGTTTCTAATTTCCTGATAAGACCAGCAGAGCTGAACATGTATTTGATTTCAAAAATATGCTTATAAAGGTTCAAGAAAAGGTCCTGACTTCTTGACCTCCAGAGACATTCATTCAGATATTTTGTTTCTTCCTTGATAGTGTTGCTTTCAGAACTTGTTTCATGGTTTCTTAATCAACTTCTGCAAGAGAAAACAAAGAAGCATTGCTTGCTTGCTTTATTGATGAGTGTGAACAAGAGTGTGAAGAATCACAAGTGGACTCAGAAAACGGGAGTAAAGCAAGCAGGCATGAAATGCTTTTGCTTTGAAATTGCCCAGTCTGTTAAAACAATTGTACATCATATTCTTTTTTTGATTTTTAAGCAAGCAAGCAGAAGTTTTGGAGTTGCGAAAAACAGGAGTTTGCTAGCTGCAACACATTTGAAAATAGAAACGCCAGGAACAAAATAATGCTGAGACAGAGCAGAGACAATTGGTACATATTAATTGTTTCATTGCTCACAGCAACTTCATAGTTTCACCAACATGATTTTATTTTGACAGAGGAACAGTTGGATAACATACTACAAACTACTAGTGCAGAAATTACCACTGAGCGAGAAAAAGTAACCTAGTGGCATCAGAAAGTACTTTAAAAGTGATGGAATCAGTTCTGTTTCCCCTTAGCAGCTCATTCATCAAACATATTTCCAAAAAAGGGAAGGGACAAAATCATTTTTTTTTCCTTTTCGGTGAGGTGCGGCAAGAGAATAAGGGTTGATTTATGGGCTTCTGAAAGGCTGCTTTAGAACAAAATATTGAAACTAGGAATAAAATGCCTATAAGATGAACCAAAGTAAATTTTGCTGCACACATAGCAAAATAAAATGTAATATGCAAGTATGCATAGCATACAGTTTATGAATAGGTTTTAAAAGAATCATAATTGAAAGCTAGTATATTTTACAAAACAATTGCATATGTATTTCACACTTAGGGAACATGGTCTGGCTAGCAGAGATTTAATTCCCCTTGAAATTAAGCAAAAAAAACCCCTGCATGTGTCATCCGGAAACCGCGTCCACCCCATTGCCGGCAATGGCAAAACTGGCCCGATACGTTGCGTGACGTCACGTGACTCACAAGTTTGACATGTCTGCTATAGAGATAGACTGATGGAAACAAGTCACTCATAGAAGAAAAAACAACAAGCAAGAACAATGTCCTTGCTGTCTAGTTCAGCCCAGTCCAGTGCAGCCCCAACGGAACTGAGCAACTGATTTCATAGCCTCCCCCTGGAAGAAAGCATGCAGACACCTGGAGAAGGGACATCATCAAGTACTTCTGTGATAGGAACAAAAGTAGCCCAGACTTCCCTAGGGAAAGTG